TCTCGTCGATTGGATGACGTGGGAACGATTCAGAGTGGTGCAGTTGGGTGGCAAGATCGCCTTGTACAACACACATCACAAGAAGTTCGTTCAGATGAGTCATGGCAACGCTGCCTGTTTGAATTGAGCGCTGACACCTTTCTCCTGCAGGTGAACCTGCATTACTCATGGAACTACACTGTAGCAAAGTGCCAGCCCATCAAGGCAGGAAGCATGAGGAGTGCTGTGCACCTGAGGAACTCACCAGCTTGGGCCCTATGGAATATTGGGATCTTCCTGACCATTGGACTTGGGAGCAATTTGTCATCAAGGAAGTCGGCGAAGCGCCTCGGCGGCCAGAGGCCATTTCCAGGTTGGCAGGGAGGGTTTAGGGAGCATGCGGTGTTCAGGAGTTCCTGCCCAGGACGTGGGGGATGGCAGCAGACTAACGAGCCATGTTGTATCCCATCGCTTGGCTCTGAATCCCGAAGTAGGTGTAACCTCGCGTGGCCTGAGCCCAAAGCTCCGGTAGACACTTGCAGGACATGGGACGTCCAAAGTGTGGTTGTTCTCTTCCTGGAATCGCATCATGTTGCAAGACGCATGCATGGGGCCGAGGCTTCACACTGCAATTTCTGGTGCAAAATTGCTTCGCCCTTCGTCAAGGCACCGGGGGCACCAGCAGGATAGAGTTTGAGCTCCTTCTGCAGGTCAGCTCATGCAGGCAGTAGAGATTCGCCGGACCCCTGCTTGTGCAGGTGTTCAAGGCAGTTGTGAGCTTTGTGGCGAAGCTCTTGGAATGTTTTGGTCAGTTTGCTGTCACTGCAACCGGTGGCTACGGTCGGCCGATCTCCACCAATGTTGCCGTGAACTTCGGAGTGTCTGGTGCTAGTCTCAGAAGTCATTCATCACAAGCAACCAGACATCTGGACAATTTTGTTTTAGTCCGCATGCGCCGTTGATCAGCGTGAGTTTCTATCAATTGTCTCCTGAATGAATAACCTCCTGACGCCCGCCCGTCCCGCCCGATGCTGTTGGAGTGGTAGTCGAAGTCCTGGTGGGAGGGGTTGTTGTTGTGTTTTGTTTTTCTCGATGGTGGCTGTGGTGGTGGTGGTGGTCCTCCTGAAACTGCATCCAGTGTATGTGACAGACGTGCTCGCATGCACAACGAGCATCAAAGCGCCGAAGACACGTAGGTTTCAACTTCACCTCACGGAGAAGTTGCAAGCAGAACCGGAGCAGAGCAACAGCCGCAGGAAAGGAGGTTGCGGACAGCGGCACAAAGCGACACCAGCGAGCCCATCCTGCTACTGCTTCAGTGACCCAAGTGGCAGTGGTGGTGGCGGCGGCGGGGGCAGGGGTCGCGGTGGTGGAGGTGGAGGTGGGAGTGGGTTGGGCGTAGCTTCCACAAGACTTGCCATTGTAGGACTGTAACGAGGCAAGGTTGAAGCCACGACCAAGATGCTTGAGGCCACTAAAAGGCGTTTCTCATCAACTGAGAACCCAAATTGTTCCCAAAGAAGGGTTGCAGCAGCTGCAGCAGGGGGTTGCAGTGAGGGCTTTCGCAAGGCAGTAACATCATCCCCGTAAGACCTGTGCATCCCCATCATGTCATATCATGCCAGACAGCGTTGTATGAATATTCAGATCAGTTCTATTTAGGATTATTCCATATTGCTCCATTCTCTTATGTTCTGTGCTGTCTTGTGCTGTGGGCTATGTGAGTTTCCTTGCTGCTGGGACCACTGAGGTGGCAGAGGCCTTCAGGCTAGCCTTGAGAATATCATGAGCGGCAAGCCTCCACCTACTAGCATTTCCTTGAGTGCAGGCGCTGGAGCAGGCTGGGAAGCTCAAGCACTAAACCCTAAACCACAGACCCTAAAGGCCAAAAGCTTACACCGTAAATCCTAAACCTCAACCCCAAAAAGCTGAAGCTTTTTGGCATTCGGAGTTATTCCCGGCAGGAAAAACGACAAAGTGGTTTTGGCTCGGTGTCGGTGTGTCCCTGAGCGTTAGCTGCACAGCCGCCGATACCTTTGGATGCAAGTTCGGCATCTCCGTTGGGGCAATCGCGACAGGGTGGTCAGAAAAGCAAACGGACGAGAAGTGCCCCTTCGGCCCAACGCTAACCGGATTCAAGTGCAAAAGGTCTGTTGGCGGAACGATGCTCTTGTTTTGCTGCTCGTACGACCTACTGACGGGCGAGAATAGTTGTCGCTAAACTTGCAGCAAGCTCCGAGTGCAATCTGACCGGCCTCAGCAGCAGGCATGCACATCATTGGTGCTGTGCCGGGAAAAAAGAGGAAGTGTAATGAATTTGGGAGATTCTATTTCATTTGGTTCCCTGGTGGCATGGTCCCTTGGTCTCATGGTCTCGATGCTTCTGTGCAGTTTCTGCACTGGGTACTACTTGCGCCAGGGCGCGTTTTTGCCTTGCAATCGCAGGTCCGAGTGCGAATCTACCATGAGCGGCTATGAAAGCTGCAAAAAGTGAGATGAGGATTCTGCAGATGCCTTCTGCGCAGCTTCCGTGCTCAGCAGCGTATTGCAAGAACTTGCCTGATGTGCCCTTTCTTTGATGGACGATACCTAGACCCACACCTCCCAGTCCTATAGGCTCTAGGCCCTAGACTCCTTAGACTCTGCGCATGGCTAAGTTCAATGCCAACAGTACCGGGAGCCCTATCCGCATGTAATGTGCTTGAGTGTCCTTGTGGACGGCTTCTCGCTCGGTTGGGATGGCTGCAGAGGGCATGCTCCATCATAGAGGCCTTTGAGGGGGGCGTGGCTTCAAAAGGCAGTATTCCGCATGCTGCCGTAGGGAGTGCGCGGGTTTTTGATCGCTGTCTGGGCAAGTGTGTCTCCTGCTGTTTCGATGTTTGTGCCGGGGCAGTCCTATCGGGGTAAAAAAGGGCGGGAGCTTGGGATGTTATTCTGGAAACCGTGCCATTTGCTAAACTTCGATCGACAGTGCTTGCATCCGGCACTGCCACATCTGTGGCAGCATCGGTTTCAGCCTTGTGGAGCTCAGCGGCGACCAGGTTGATGCAACGACATTACTGCGACCAGGTTGATGGCGCAATGTATGTGCATGAATGACACGATGGTCCTTATAGTTGACTCCACATACGGGACACGGTGCGCCTTCGCTGCTAGTCTGCGGAGGCTGGGACGTTAGTTAAAGCATCGTGATGTCGCCTGGACGGTTTGCGAAGCGACACCAAGAATTGAGTTACATGTTGTAAAAGCGCGAAAATAGACTGTCGCACTTCTGTCCATGAGAGATTGCAGGCCGCATTGTCGCGGAAAGTATTTAGTGCAGGACGTCCGAGATTTTGTGGCACGGACTGTGTGTCCGGCAACATGCACATGGTTGGTTGACGTGAACGCTGCCGCGCCACTTGTTTTCGCAGCCATTGCATGTGAAAGTCCAGACAGCAGCCGTGCAAAAGCATAGCGCACACGCACACATAGCTGATGTATATTCTAAGATTCGACATCAGGAACAAACACACACTGCTTCACAGCATACTCCCACAAGTAGCAAGCAAACCACACGATACTTGTGAATTCAGAAATCGAAGGAGATTCCGGCAGACTCCTGCGCAAGGCGTTTGAGATGGAAGGATGAAAGCTGGGAGTTGAAAATGCAATGTGTTTGATTGCAGGTTCCAGCACATGGTGTCCAGGAGCTCAACTCAGATTCAGCAAGCACAGTCGAACCAAGGCTATGCAGCGGATCTTGACTGGTGAGACAGATTGAGGTTACTAGATTATTCGGAGGGTGGTCCGAACGACCCTCGCACCACTTTCAATGATCTGCGCAAATGGTTGACGGCTGTGAAGGAGGACAACCAGAGGGCCTGCTCAGGTGTGCAGTCTTTCGTTTCAAGTTCTCTCATCTAGGCATGAACTCATGCGATTGGTTCGGCTTCGGCTGTGAGCTGCAACTTCGATGCTGCTACAGGAGATTTCACCGTGGGGTTGGCAAGCCTACGATGCGGAGTTCCGTGAGCGCATGCAGGTCACTGACCGTCAATTTTGCCTTTTTTCAGCCCTTTTCATTGGGATAAAGACAAGGCCGAGAAGAAGCTGTATGCCATGAACGGTCTGCCCAACAGTGGTGCCGAGCCGCAGGACCATCCAATCTAAGTTGATACGTCCGTATTTTGTCGAACCGACTCCCTGCCAGGACGGCGTGATCCAAGGCACCCCCTTGTGGCAAGAAAGGTCGGCACGTGATGCAGAACGACAGAGTTTCACTTCGCCAAAAACGGCTTTGCTTTGGCAATTGCGAAGTGGCTCGGAGGCTTGACCAGATGCTCTTGGTCGAGCACTTGAAACGGAAGGCATCCGACAGGAGTGCCATCAACAATAGCTACAGTGAGTTACCCGACCGTCTTGGCAGGTCATGGTTGCCCACACAGCATTCACCGAAGCCACCGACCTCTTATTGAAATCGCACGCATGGTTGGTGAAGGCAGCTTTGAGAAGAGACGGCCCAGCGTCTGCCGACAAGAGTTTCCGTACGACACGCAGGACTCGCTGCTGGCTGACAAGTTTGCTGAATGCAACTGGGCCTGGTACAAGAGTCGGGCACTACTATGTTTGGGAAAAGCTGTCGTGTTGAGGCATATCGCGGGTACCACCAAGTCAGCATGACAGAATCGACCTTCTGCAGGTCGTGCCGCACCCAAGTCTAGCACAGCTGGCCGTTTGTGCATGTCAACGTGCCTTCTTCTGTGCAACTGTTGTGGCTGGAACATGGATGTGTGACCTGCGAGTCAGTAAAGAGTTCAAGACAGTTAATCAATTCAGTTGAAGGAGCATGGGTACAGATCATGTGTCTGGGATCGACTACCTAGCGGCCTTCTCGGTATTGTCAGTTTCTAGGATGGCTCGGATCTTGTGCCATGGCGTTGACAGCCCCGTTTGGGCAAGTTGCGCCACAAAGCCGCGAACGCTTCAAGGCACGCTCTCAGTGTTCCGAGGCACAAACGGACGTGGGCAACTTCTTTCAGGTGCAGAGACACGAGTGGCGCTGGTGGACGTTCGGGGCATCACGAAGGCGAGCAGTGCACACATTGGCGGATTCGATGTCGTTTGATTGTCATGCAGGACGAGGCAGTGGCAGCAGAGCCCAAAGATGCGGTCTTGGCTTCGCTGAAGTCAATGGATCACCAGTTCCCATCCTAGATTCAAAATTCAGTGGGCAGTTCGTTCAAGATTTATGTCCGGCAAGATTGCGGACGAATCAGGTTCGAGCAAGACCGCGAGGCCATGGAGAAGGACGCCACCTGTTTCAGCGGCTTGCTCCTTCCTACTTTCCGGATGAGTATGGCAGGTTCAGAGGTAGCCATGGTGACGACCGATATCCGTGGTTTTGCTTGGGCGGCTTGAAAACACCAGCATTGACACCCGAAGCTAGGACATCCGAGCTCACCGGAAAGCTGCTTACGATGACGGCCGCGGCTCGGAACTGCCGAGCGAGGAGAGAGTGCCAACGCCGGCAGAGGCTGGAATGAGACGATGTGACATGGCGTCGCTCTGCCCCGGAACCTGTTGTTTATGCGTGCGGGTTGGACTTGAGTTGGTCGTCGTTGCTTCTGATTATCAGATCGCCCACCAGCTGATGCAGCGCCCAGGCAAGCACAAAGTCACAAGGTTGTGCCAGCAAACAGCTGACCGAAGGCAGCAGATTCATGCTGCCAATGTTATGATTCATCTTTTTTTGTGGCTACGATTTGCTGCGCTGTTGCTGCTGTGTTTAGCTTTTCAGACATGCTGTGACCCTAGTCGTGTTGGCCGTGCTGCAACTGCTGCTACAGTCGAAGCGCTACGAACAGTTTGCCAGTCGGCACTTTCGCATCTGAGGGCTGGTGACTACGGGAACGGTCCACCCTACCCCATCGAAGGTCAGTCCACCATGCTTCAGCAAGTGTACCTTGGTATGTTGCGTGTCCATCGTCGTCTTTGAAAGGCGCACCTGCCCCACCATGGAGACGACAGGGTGTCGAAGGCACTGACAATGTCACCGTTCAAACGGATCACACAGCCGGGCACTTGACTTTGACCTCGTTTTTGTCGTGCTCAAGGCATGTATGTCCAACTGCTGAGCCTTGCTCTCTGGCAGGTGCTCGGCAAAGGCCATGTGTCTACAGTGTTTCGTGCTGCGTCGCCTTTGTTCCGGTTGACTGTCCTGCGACAGGAAGAAGCACCGAGCTTATCCGCTGTTTCGACGGTGAGGGAGTTGAGCAGCAATGTGGACAATTGTACAAAACGGACCGCTGGGTGCATCATTGTGGTGATGCTGAACCCTCCGGGGCTTTTTCTGAACCCTGCTTGACAGGATGTAAATGCTGTGAAGGAGGAGGATGACAATCTGCTGTCGGGATTGGGCTATGAACCTTGCATGAAATTAAGAAGGTCTTCTTTAGCGTGTGGACTCTCTTGGTACCTGTCTCAGGGTGGACCGCTGACCAGTGGCCGGACAGCGTGCACTCTGCAAAGTGCAGTGGCCTTGCTGAGGCACGATAGTAGCTGGGAGAGATTCGCGAATCCATGTGATGCGAGAGTCAACATTGCACAGCAGGCCATCAAGGACGGCTGTCAGTGCCTCACAGGGCTGGATGTGTTGACATCTTACATCGGAGACTTTGGTTGTTCAGCTTCTTGCAGAGGCTGCTCCCAGGCAGCGCTGGCGAGCTTTCCTGCATCCCAGCTGCAGCGATGTCATCGTGGGTGCATAAAGTGTGACCAATGAACTGTGGGCGCATCTGTCTCTTGCTACTTCGTTTTGGCTTTCAGGTAGATAGCTGCGTACCCCGAGCAAAAGGATGCTTTGTGGTGCAGAAAAAAAGCCTCGTGCGATCTCGTGAACCGCTTATGCCACGTCAAGAAGGCATGCCCAGGGTACTCTGAGAAAGGAGTTGACGATGTGCCTCATCCTGCGTTAAGGCGCTGCGACAATCGCGCGAGGAGACGAAGGCTGCTAAAGCCGAGTTCCACGAGTACAAGGCACAGACTCAGCATGGAGGATGTGGTGATGCCGTCCGGATGCCAGGTCCGGCAGCAGATCAAGCGCCAGGATTCGTTAGTAGAGCTGAGTGCTGCGCTTCTGCCATCTTCGTGTGTTGTCATTCCCTGCAGCTGAACACATTTCTGGTTAACAGGTCGTGCTGTACTTCAGCTCGTTGCAGTATAAGGCATCAAGACCGACATGGCCTATGAAAACAGCGACAAGTAGCGTCATGCCGTCATTGCTGCTGCAAGGCTCTAACGGGATGTCGCAGATTCTGATCGCTTTTCACGGAAGTATATTCAGAAGTTGTCTCTGGAGTCTTCCGATGGCGTCCGTTCAGCCAGCTACAGCTGCATACGTCCAGAATCTTTTGGAGAGAGCCGCTCAGATCGATTTAGTCAAGGAAGATAGGTTCGGGGTGGACATGGAACACGTGTGTCGTGGAGCTCGCATGTTGGTGCGTAAGGTGATCTCTGGACGCCAGGCTGCTGAAGAAGCTGCACATCAATATGTGAATGGTCTCATGCGGAAGGCGCTCGCGGCTTCCATACTGCCCATCACCGAAAGAACTTTATGTTTTCTTGCGAGGCCTTTGCTGCGGCGGCCATCGACAGCGCCCATGTCTTGCTTGTGTTTCTACTATCTCTGACTGATGCCGTCGTGTTTGATTTGGACATGCTCGACTGGTGAAGGTACGGCGCGAGATGTCGCAGCGCTGTGTGCCCGTGAAGCAGTGAAGGGCTTTGTGGAGAAGGCAGGGGCGAAAGAAGTAGAAGTCTGATGTTGAAGTACTCAGACGTAGTCGTCAAGATTCGAAGATGTTGGTCTGCGAGGCCAAGGCCCAAGAACCTCAGCAGGCATCCTCAGGCAGCCAATGTAATTTGCGGGGTTGGGGCACCGTGGATCCTCATCGGAAGCATGTTTGCCCGGAAGGTGAGCATGAACGCGAAGTTGCAGCTGCATGTGCTCGAGTGGTTGTTGCTCGCTACGTGGAGAAGGCATGTCAATGTCATCGTGAGTGCTGCTGCTTGCTGCCGCTGCCGCTGTTGTCCTCGGAGGCATCTCTGGAGGTCAATGTGGCGAAGCTGGCTCAATCTCAAGGTCGGGAACCGACAGCGTCGCATAGCGTCGCACAGCGTTGCAATTTGTGCTAGCGGCAGGACCTGGACGAGAGGAAGCTGCTGCTTGTGCTAGGGCAGCCGTGGCCAGCTGGACAGCCAAGGATCGGCATCAGCAGGTAGCTGCGGGTAGCTGCGGGTAGCGGTAGTTTGTGCGGTCGGTCTACTGTGTTCAGGCTTCCGAGGCTGCCAGAAGGGAAGGCGGGAACTGACGGCGGACCTCTCTTTCAGTCCCCTGTGCTGCGGCGCTGCGTGAAGTCAGTTCCCGAGCCAGGCCCGGAGGGAAAGGTGGCTGCGGCGTGTGCTCGTGTGGCAGTCGCCCGGTACGTCGAAAAGGCTGGACGGAAGGTCGCTGAACAGTCGACTGTCTGGTTTACTCGGTTTGGCTGTGAGGCGAAGGAAGCGGTTCGGCAAGGCCAGCTGATCAGAGCGAAGTTCTGTTTCACGTCATGTAGCGAGCTGGGAGGCGAAAGTCAGGAAAAGGCGGAACGGGATCGAGTGCCCGAGTTTGTGAAGCGACACGAGGGTAAGGCCGGCTCTGAGAGCGGCGCTCCTTCCGTCGCTGCTTTTGAAGAAATCACTTATTTTGTTTTGCCTTTGCGTCAAGGCTTTTGAGGAAGCGCTCGCTCAAGGCTCCTGACATCAGCAGCGATTCTGTGCACCCCAGACCAGCTGCAGGTGATGAGCGCCAGGTTGCTGCTCTTTGTGCACGCTACGCGGTGAAACAGTTCGTGGCGCAGGCATGTGCATCAGCGCTAACAGGCGGCTGCTTCCCCCCTCCCTAGCGAAGGCCTCTGATGCAGTTCGTCAGCAAGGCCCAGTCCCAAGGCGGTATGCCCGGTGAAGCTGAGTGGGAAGCGTCTTCAGGCACGCAGGCGTCTGTCCGGAGCACCGTCGAGAAGGCTGATCACCTGATGCCGAGTGTCACACGCAGCCAAAGCGTGACAGTGACTTGCACTTCCAGCCAGTCTCTGTCTCCTTCAGGTTCATTCATCTGTGGTGAAAGCGGCAAACCACCTTGCCCCTTGCAGCATGTTCGGACTCCCTTGCTCTAATCTATTACCACCTTTCCGATCTTTGTTATGTTCCGACTGTGCTCAGGCTGCGGCTGCCCAGGCGACCGTCGAGAACCTCGAAGGCACAGCCACCAAAATTGGCAGGGCATTGGGTTGCTGGACTTAGAGCTTTTCGCCATAGCGACGTCAAGTCTGAGGCTTGGTTTCCGACTGCGAAGATCCTGCGAATGCAAATTCTGAAGAAGGAGTCGAGTCGCCGTGACTCAGCTTCAATGGAGGGGTGACAGCCGCCTGCAGCTATTCGCTAGGTGTCCGAGCGAGATAAGGCGTGGCACAAGAAGTCCGATGAAGCCCGACGGTGTTGCCCCGAAGAAGAAGCGGCCAGCTCCGAAGTTGAAGGCAAGGGCAAGCCATGGGCCCTCGGCCTTTCAGATCCGCATGACATAAATCCTTTGAGCAGGGGCTTTACCATCTTAAGTTGGCTGTAAGTGAGATGTCAAGGTGTGGTGGATCTTGGCACCATTAAACCAGAAATGCTCCGACTTCCAACTGAATCCGGTGCTGTAAGCACACAAGCCTTCAGTTTGAAGAGTGTGCAGGGGGCGGGCCCAAGTCACCTCCCTCTGGCGCAGCTGGAGCCTGCAGCTTCGGCAATGGCGGCAAAAGTGCAACATGAAACCTTCCTTTCATTGCAGGAGCCTTGGACAGCGCCACCCTCTCCCCAGACCTTGCTGGCAGAACTGGCCCTGCCGCCGCCAAAGAAGGAGAAGGCTCAGGCCAAGCTCCGGCCCTACGATGTTGAGGAGGCGAGGGATGAGTGTCTCACCGCTCTTTTGCCTTTCATGTGAGATGTTCCTAGGAGCGAAAGCGAGATGTGGAGCTGCTACAGCAAAGGCCAGTGGCCGACCCTTCTACTTGCAAATGCCACAAACTCGGGTTCTAGCTTAAGATGTGGTGATATTCGCCGCCATGCGTTGCCCTCGTGGTTTGAGCAGTGGGAGGCATCAAGAAAACCTTCAGCGCCAGAGGCAGGTGCAGCAGGAACTGCGGACCCAGCACCAGCAAAGCTTCGTGCGGGATGCTGCACCCTCAGCTTGATGGAGCAAGCCTCGACCAGCACCAGCGAATTTTGAGATACCAGGGTACATGGTGCATACTGGTCCAGCCAGGTCAGCGGCCAGATCAGCCTGGCTCCACAAGGACAACAGCCTGCGATAACTTCAGCACATCATTGTTGTGGGCCGGTCACGGTTGGAAAAGGATCATCGCGAGATTGGTGTCCACGTTTCACTGCCGAACCACAACCGCCAAAGCCCAAGAAAGGCGCGACGGACCAGCGCGGCACATCACGGCACAATCCTTTGATGGGTCTTGGCAGTCTTGGGAGGCCGTGCAGGTGTGCGAGCCAGCTCCTCCCGTCGTAGCCGGTTCAAGCCGAGCGAGGCAGAGACCACGCCCCCGGCTCAGCAAAGACTAACTACACGCTCGAAAATCACATCGAAAGACTTCTACAAACGACGTCCATGTCAGGTGCATGCTTTCTGACTCTGACTGGGCCTTCTCCAAGGATCTGATGATGATGATGATGATGGTGGTGGTAGTGTTCTAAATTTCACTGGTACCGTGACAGCTTGCAGGATGCCGTGGCTCTTCCGGAGAACCTGCTAGCTGCCATGGCTGAGATGGAGGCATGCTTCTGGTGCAGGCTACTAGTACGCTTGGTCTGCACAGTTTGTTGCGACAGAGCTGGAAGGCAGATGAGCCACGATCTGTCGTTGACGATCCAGTATTGCGTGCATATCTCGCTGTCTACAAATCGTTACTTGGCGATCGTGCGAATGTTGGTAAAAACATTTCAAGAGATGTTGGGGCTTGTTGAGTTGTAGACAGTTCTTGTGCTTCGCAAGGACAGTGTGTAAGCGCGGAGGAGAAGACGATGACACACGAGGCAGCCACTCTTGCGCGCATTAGGTACATGCCTGCTCCCGCATGATCCCGCCAGGAGCTCTCGACCTCGCTTTCCCCGAGGCTGGGGTTCTTTTGCCTGTCGAATCCGCAAACCGAACCGGGCCGATCCGGGCCGGGGGCAGGGACAGAGTCCGTGTGGGTCACGAGATGGCAGCAAAAGGCCAGGGCCAGGGTGCGCTCTCCGTGATGCGTTTTCACCGAGTTTTTGGCTTCGAAGCAAGGCGAGCAAAGAGTGCAGCAAGCAGGCCCGGATTTCACGATGTGCTTGAAAGTTTCTAGGGGCACGGTCGGCCAAGGTTGTCGAAGGCTAAGGGAGCCGCCTGGCTCCAGCCCGGCCTCATGTCTTGGCAAGACCGAGGGAAGCTCGGCAGGACTTCGCCAGGAAGCAGTTGTCCAGCTCTTGCTTTTGGGTTGTGGAATCAGCACCATAGCCAGCACGCAGATGACGGGGTGACACGCTTGGCCGGGCAAGCCCTCCGACATGTTCACACCCTGATTCAAACTGGCTAAGTGCCAACACATCACAGACTGGCAAAAGATTCCGAAGCCGGAACGGGAAACTTGACAAGCGGAATGCTAGCCGCTAGCTGCTATCCCAAGCAAGGATTGATGGCAATCCTGAGGGCTAGAGACGAGTAGTGGCTCTATGTCTCGGGGGGTGGGGCAGCTCGGGTTCAGAACTCCTTCAAGTGGCCTCATAGGTCGCCCAGCACAATGATGCAGGGCTCTGCCGACGCTAAGGAAGGCCTGGTTCTGGCCGCGCAAGGGAGCTGTGCCACCAATGGAGTGCCCCGACTTTTTTGCAGAGCACACCCACCAACAAGACATGCCCGCGTCGCACAAGGACAGCCGTGCTTGCCCTGTTGAATGGCCAGCCTCCTCCCATCGAAGCTACAGCTCAGGCGAGGGTTCGAAAAGAAAAGGCGTTAGGCCAAATTCGGCGTGTTGGACTTTTGCTCGAGGCTGCCGCTGCAGCACGACAGCAATTTGCCTTGTGTCATGGCAGCATTCTTGTGGCCACCTGACGCTTTCGGCTGTTCTACATATTCCGCGACTGTACTGGCCGATGCATTCTAACATCAGAGCGCAGTGAGTGTTGCTTCTCTGGGTGTTAAGACTTCCAAGGCCCATGCTGCAGAAAGTGCAGCAGGCTCCTTTTCATCACGTGCAGTCAGCTCGTCCGAGTCTCCGAGCTTATCAGCAAGAATTCCAAACTCAATATGCTGCCGTCGAACCTGCGAGTGTCCACGAAAACGGTTGGACAGCGTAACTTCCACTGAAAGCAGGTCTGTTCATGGGCGCCTCGTGCCGATGCCAGGCACGATGGCATCATCCGAAAATGGGAGTAAGAGCGTGCATCATCAAGGTTCTCATGCGGGGCAGATCAACGTGGTTTCGTAGGTAGATATTCTGTCACGGTAAACGCAGGACCTTGGAGCAACAGGCAAAGTGTCATACCCTGCTAAGGATTGTGTAGGCATTCATATCGCGCCGTACCTTCCTTTCTAGGAGCTGTGCCGGATTGTCAAAGTACCTTGTGACCAAGTGCAGGGTTGTTGACGTCCGCTTCCGAAGAGAGACATACCCTCTGCCCGGAGGACGTGAAGCTCTTCACCCGGACGTCGCAATCCTTCTGCCAACGTCTAGCACAGGGAGACCTTGCCAAGCTCGACAGAGTTTGGTTGAACGCCCCGGAAACATCCGAAGCATAGAAGCACAGGCTCCTTGTGCTGGCACTCTGCATAAACTGCGTTTCTTCCGATTTTTCGGGCGCCTCCACGTGCGCCTCCGGGAAGTCTCCAGATGGAGCAGATTCCCGAAATTCCCCACAGACGTTGCTGCGTGGCGGCCTTCGTTTTGGGCTGCTTGTGTAAGGACTTCATAACTTTTAACTCTGCGGCGCACCTCCAAGAGTCTAGGCAGTGGAAATATCATGTGCAAGTGCCAGCAAAGTCTTACAGCACTTGCCTGCAATGGTGAAGGAAGTGTGCTGGCTCCACGCATTTGAATCTCTCCTCTTCACCTGAGGCAACTGCAAGCTGTATTCTGGATGCAAACTGTGCTGAGACCTTTTCTGACTCCGAGCTGTGCTGCGCGGTTACGCGTGGCCTATGCTTCAGTGCACATACACATACAACAACAGTGGTTACAGGGGACAGAGCGGTTTGCTTTCGTGACGGCTTGTCGCTGGCTTTGAAAGGTAGAGAAGCAGCATGGCCCTGCCCCTTCGGCAAGGGCTGTAGCATCTGTAGAGATACGGCGGAGGAATCGCTGGAGCACGGAAGCATGCCTGATCGCATGAAGTCGCTGGTCTTGTTACGGGCTGTTTCAGGAGGCTCATGAGCTGTTGTTTACAGCTGATCTAGAGTCGTGCAAGAGGTAGTCACCGTGCCCCGGCTGCTACGGCGGAGATTGACGCCCGCATCCTTCCCAGCGCTGCTGCTAAAATCCGCAGCAGGCGCATCGGTGCAACCCGGCCGTGGTGTAATGAGCAAGCTATGCTGCCCGGGTCACGTGTGTCGCAGCTTTTACCTTGCAGCTTTGAGTGGAGCAAGTGAATTTGTCGCTGAAGCACCACGGTACACGCTGGGCACTCCATGGCGATCGCGGAGCGACGCCACACTTGTGGAAGTCACCTCAGGTGCTCCACTGGTTCGGATTTTGTGGGCAGGTGTGTTGGCCAAGGGTATAGGTATCTTGTTGCATGATCGTACTACGGCATTTTCATCTGTTGCTCTTGTATTGCAGCGATGGCGATATCTGAGATGGACAAACACTGATCATCCAGGTCCTGTCGCAATCGCAAGAGGCCTCGGCTTTGAACTTGTAGCGCAGACAAATACATGTTGCTGATGCAAGCCACTGCATTGGCTGAGGCCTATCATGGCAAAATCGCTGCTGACATACCGCACTGATCAACAAAAAGAGTCCCTCCTACGCTTGCTTTTATTGTGCGTGTGCATCTACTGCTGCGTGCTCCTTGAGAGAGTCGCCGCTTGTTGATTGGTAAAGTAGCTCGCAGTCGTGTTGAGAGGATATTGAGGGTTGACAGGAGGCTGGAGGTGGGTGTAGACAAATCCATCATGCATCAGCACTTGGGGTGTTGCATATGTACCGAAAAAGTTGCATGTGTAAAAGTAGTGACAGTACTCAACTTGCAGGAGTACTTGGTGCGTACCATCAACAACCAGTCCTATGCAATCCGGCAGAAGACGAAGGACGAGCAAGCGGAATGTCCATGTGCGGCTGGAATGCTTTCGTCGTCCATCAGCCGTGAGGATGACATACTTGTCTCGTGGAGATACCATTGCGAACGTTCTCGGGCAGTTGAGCTCGAAGGCAAATCCGTGGCACCTGTTGCACATGGCGTTCGTCTTCTTCCCTCTTTATCATTTTTTTTGACTTTCATGACCTTGACAGTGTGGCACGAAGGTTTGTCTGCTTTTCGATCTGGATGTTTGAAAGCAGAAAGGATTCTCGCGTCTGTCATTTTCTGGGCTGGGGACATGATAGGATAAAGACAAGGAGAAGAATGTGCCAGTCAAAGCTCAGGAGATGCAAATTCAAAAGCCCTAGAGAAAGCACGCGCAGGTGACGTAGGCGGCACCAAGAAGTGTCTGGAAACGTTCACATTGTGAGGCCGGAATCATGTTCTGGTCACACGGGCCCATTCCCCAGAAGGGCTACGGCTTCGTCATCGCTGCAGACGACATCTCCTTTGTCAGGTCAACGACCTGGAGGCGAAGATGGTGGCGACCCAGGAAGACTTGGAGGAAGCGGCTCGGCAGTGGGAGGAGCAGCCCGAAGCTCAACCCACGGCAGAACTTCTCACGTGGCACTGTGGCGTCTCCGGGGTCTCACGAGGCGCAGTGCTCTGGAAGCTGACCGGGATGAGTATAAGCGCCTCTACGAGAAGCCCGGGGCTCGCTTCCGGAAGCCTTCCGAGTTGCGGCCGCTGCCGCCAATCGCAGGTTCCTGGCAGCCCACGAGCGTGCGATGGCGGAGCTGGAGGAGTCGCAGGGCACGGCCGAGGACCAGGCGAAAAAAGGAGGGGTGCTGTGCCGTGCTGGTCTCTCTGAGAGTGCTACGTTTTGTTTAGACTGGAACAGCAGTACCAAAGAAAAAAGGCGATACTCCGTGCTCGCAGGTACTGGAGGCATGTGCTGACTTGCGGAGTAAACTCTGAGGGCCTGAGGCAGCTCCAGTGCTTCAATGCAGAATTGACAAGGTGGACTAAAACACCACAACAACAAGGGGAATGCACCCGAATGATCCTCCATTTCACCCTTGAAACTTCCTGCCTACCATGAATGGCTGTAAGGCCTCTGCCCGTGTGGGGTCCTAGTGCCTTGTTACGACCGACTGCTTCGCAGCTGGTACTCTTGCGGCCTTTGAACCGTGTTTGACTGCCGCTCATGCCTTGCTTCGTTTTATTTTGGGTTGCTTCGGCAGGATGCAGGGCTTTGCCATGACATATCGCAGTAGCCAGCGGTTTGATGGGCTCTGAAGAGCCCACATTGAGGCAGTGGGCCCGGGGCGAGGCCCGGGGAGGCTCTGTCTGAGGCTGTGAGTCTCGCGTTGTGGGCCCGGTGAGCCTTTGTCTTCGGTCTACCGGGCCCGGTCTCCTTCCTGTGGAAGAGCGACACGCAGGAAATTCTTCTTGATTTTTATCGTTTTCGTTTGATATCGCTTGACGTGGCGCGCTGATTTCCCGTTGCAGGCCAAGAAGCTGCAGGCGTGGTTGTGCTGTGGGCGTGGTGTGGAATCGTGCGGATCTGACGAGCCGAAGCCATGCTCTTTGCAAGGTCCTGACTCTAGAGAAGCATCGCCTCACGGACAAGGTCCGGGTCACGGTTCATGTCTCTCTTGACTGCCAGCCAGCTCAGTGCTGGCAGGTGGAGGAGCTGGAAGACGCCAGTGGCCAAGACCTCTACGGCGTTCTACGGGGGAGGCTGGAAGCGCACGGATTCTCCAAGCTGCGCCAAAGGACAAGAAACGAATGTCCAAGCAGCTGGCAGAACTGCGGGACGAGGTGGGCAGCCAGGCAACCTTCGACTTGCTCTGATCACCTCTGATAGTCTCAGAGAATTCATACTGAAGGTGGCCAAGCTGAAAGCAGAGCTGCGGAGGCTCGAATCCGGATTTTTGCTGTCTTTTGTTGCTCACGAGCATGGATGCCAGGCTGGGTGCTCAGCTTCGTGACGTTGGGGCCCCAGTGAGGCTCAAGGCAGACGCCCCGTTGCCGGCCGCTGCTCACAGCACCGCTTTCGCTCAGGGTGAGGTGGCTCTGCTCTTGGCCCGCTCGGATGCGCAGCAGCTCCGGGCAGACGCGAGGAGTCTGGAGGATCGGAGACTTTGCTTCGACCAGAGCGCAGCTCGCAGTAGCCCGGAGCAGCTCGGAGTCGCAGGATGTGGTCCCCCTCGAGAGTGATGGGCCAGCAAGGCCCTCTCAGCGGCGACTTCTCCAGGAAAGCGGTCGTCGAGAGGCAACTTCGCTCAGTAACAGAGCCCGACAGTTTCTTTTGAGATGTTCGAGGGCTGTTCCAGGCAGAGTTGCTGGATCTGCTGCTGGTTTCAGAGACTCTGGCCGATGCACGGCTGAAGCGCCCTCTGCTCAGCCACACGGCCTGCAGCAACCTCGCAAAGTTTCACAGTCTTTCGATTCGAGGCCTGCTTGAGCTTGAGGGCCCTGGAAATGAGCCTGATGCAGAGGAGGAGCCAGGTAAGGGATGCAGCATCTGCTTTACAGACGTTTGCTGGTGAAAGCACATGGTCCACTCCCGCGGCAGGTATGAAGCCAGCTTCGGAAATAGGTGCCACCTGTGTTCACCTTGCATGAGATTGTGGTTGTATCTAGTATGATGGATACTATAATCACGATGCTGCCTATTAGCCTATGAGCTGTTTGTTGTCAAGGTGTTCTGCCAGCAGAGCGGCGATTGCGCAGACATGTCGAGAAAGAGCGAGATGCGCGCTGCTCAAGACCTCCGGCCAAGTCGCTGTCAAGAGGTGCCTGCAGAGTCTGTCCAGTCTCCTGCCCACTTATGTTCTTAGGAACTTCTTGCCTTTGCCAGAGATCTGGACACAGAGCTGGTGAAGGCTGAGCAAAAAGGCTCTGGAGGCATAGGTCTCCTTGCTGGGCTGTAAGGTTAAGACGGAATGCTACCACACCGTTCGGGAGATCAAGCAGAAGTGTGCACAGGCCTGGAGAGGGCTCAGGGCCACAGTCCGTGGATGGCCGGCACCATGAGATGGCAACAGAGGAGCTCGAGGACTTCAAGACCACAGAGCTTGCCAAAGTAAAAGCCGACTTCCAGGCGAAGGCCTGAACAGAGAACAGCGGTTAGCTCCCCTCCGCTTGGGTGCCTTTTGTGCCTGGTAACAGATCGACGAAATCACTCGTCAGCGTGACATGCTCCAGAAGGAAGTTGAGGCAACGATCGGCACGAAGAGATGCGGTAGTTGTGTGTGTGTGTGTGTGAGTAGGCCACAGACTGCTGGCAGATGTTTTCATTGAAGTGTGTGGATGGTACGCAGTTGGGGGAGTCCGTCGCGCCGCACTTGCCGACGCTGAACCCTCTGGTCTCGCAGGCGAAAGATTTGGGTTTCCTCTGGCTTACTTAAAACGTCGGTTACGAGGCTTCCTCGATGAAGAGTCGGCTTCAGAGTCCAGCAGCTGTTTTTCCCTTTCAGGACCCTTCCAGAATTTGCGGTGTTTGTGGAGACCTCAATGAACATTACTCATGACAGCGATAGATCTCGAGATGCTCGCAGATGATTCCAGCATCAAGGCTCGGCTAAAGACTGCCCTCGTTCAAAGAGCCTCGCTGTCCCTGAAAGCAAGCTTTCGGCTTCCGCAGCATGTTGAAATGTGTGAGTGGGATACTCAAAGACTTTGACTCAGGTCGACGCACAATCGTTTTTGAAGGTGCTCTGAAGGTGTATCCTCAGAAAAGATAGCTGCCACCACATGGTGCCCAATTGGCAGCGAAACGTCCAAAGTGACAGCATTGGAGCAAGTCTGTTGTTCGCACAGCAGGCCAGCTTCGTTTCACCGCCAGGTCAAGCAAACGCTTGCCATTTGGCAAATGCGCATGATTTCAGCATGTTTGCGTGAGTGACAAAACTTGTTGGTGGGTTGCTGCTACTTCGTGCAAGGGCGCAGGGTGTGTAAGCTCCATGACATCGAACTGGACCCGGCTCAGTCGGAACTGTGAACTCGTCACCTTTGCCAGTGCAGCACTGCAACTCGGATGCACAGCTGAAATTTTTGTTCATCCACCGCCGTGGAAGTCACCGTGGCAGGCCATCATGACCGACGTTCCACGCAATGTGGCTGAGGGCACCGAGCGTGCATGGCTCTCAGGTCTGTGCATTGGGAATGTGTGCGGCATGTCTTTGGACTCTGAGTTGGCTATGTGGTTTCATATTGTCCGTGAATGTAGGACTTTAGAAAACTTCCTTTTGTTGTGGTCGCAGGGGTAGCACTGTTCTGTTCTTGCGAAGCCGAAGCAGAGCCTGTGATGTGCCAAATCAGTCCGTCAGGTCAAGAAAGGATTGCCGGCCATGCTGAAGGGTGGTGTTTTGGAGCTCAGCTTCGCACGTCGCTCGTGGCGGGTGAATTCCAGTAAAGGGCACTTCCGAGGTGATCATGGACGTCATGAACAAGGAGCAGGCAAAGATAGCAGAAGAAGCAGGAGCTTGTGCCGTCATGGCTTTGGAACGTGGCTCGGCTTGTGCTGAAACTTGTCCTAGAACCTTTGCCCTGCCTAACCATCACAAAGCAAGCCGCGGTTGACCTCTGAGGCATCCCAGCAGACATCCGCCAGAGCAAGGTTCGAGGGAAGGGGTGCCACTAGAGGCCGGAATCGTGACTTGTTGCACAGAGCTCGTACCCAGGGCGTTGCCCGCATGTCGGATCCGAAGATGATCAAGGACATCAGAGCAAGCCTAAGATTGCACAACGGAAGCACCGAATGGTTCATGGACAGGAAATCGTCAACTCCGTGTCTATCCCTGCCGGGCACTCATTGCGCAAGCTGCAGCAGGATTGCATCTCCAGCTGCTGGTTTCTTGCATGTGTCCCAGCAGTGGTGCCAGGTGATGGCCAAATGCAGGATCGGCCACTTTGTGGAATCCCAGGCCTCTTCTGCACCGGGAGGATCTTGTTCCGGGAAGGTCACAGTTGCATGAAGGGCTTGGCCGCTGGCGTTGCAGGTCCTGCAGCAAATTGGTGTCGATTGCATTGACGAGAGCGAAGTCCTCACTGTCGCCGACGAGGTCATCTGAGGGATCTTCTTTGAGCGGAACTGCTAGTTGACTGTTGCCTCGTCCATCGTTTGAGCGAATTCGGAGGGCAACCATGTCAACAAGACGAAGCTCTCGACCCAGAGCGTGCCCAGCAATCGAATCGAAGTGTCGAACGCTGCATTCAGCCGGCCGCAATGGTCTCCTGCAGGTTTTCGCGTTTCAATAATGGAAGGCTACGTTCTTTGGAAAGTTTGAAGCAGTTCGAGTGGTTGGGCACATCGAGACGTGCGAGTGGCAGGGCATCAGACTTCGAACATGTCAAGCATTGTCAAGCATTGTCAAGCTTTCGAGCTCGAGCGGCCGCTCCAGAGGCCGATTTCGATCGGCTGTCAAAGCTTGAAAGTCGAAGAGAGAGAAGGATAACTACTTGCAGAGCTTGCCGAA